AGCCCGCCAACCCCACCCAGTCCACAGACCCTTCTAGTCTGCAGCTGTCGTCTTTGCTTAAGCCGCTGCCACCGCTGGCGGGTTGAGGTGAGGCTGTGGGGACCCGCTGGGACCTCAGAGGCCGGGATGCTTGGGTCCAAAGGAAAGGATGGGCTAGGGTTCAGAATATCTAGGTCCCTAAGAAAAACGGGGGCTGGGTCAGGATTCTTGGATTCTGGAAAGGAGGAAGGATGAGGACCTGGACTCATGGAGGTCATATGTTTGAAAGAGGAGAGAACGGGACTTGGGCTCCTGGGTCCGAGAGAGGAGGGGCTGGTGGCCCGGATTTTCAGGTCTGAGGGAGGAGGTGCTGGGGGGCCAGACTTTAGATTCTAAGGGAGGAGTGGCTGAGGACCCGGACTCCTGGGTCTGAGGGAGGGAGGAGGGGCTGGGGCCTGGACTTCTGGGTCTGAGGGAGAGGGACTGGGGGACCTGCACCCATGGGTCTGAGGGAGGAGGGGCTGGGTCTGGACTCCTGGGTCTGAGGGAGGAGGGGCTGGGGGTCTGAACTCCTGGGTCTGGGGGCCTGGACTGTTGGGTCTGAGGGAAGAGGGCTGAGGGTCTGGACTCCTGAATCTGAGGGAGGAGAGTCTGGGGATTCCAACTCCTGGGCCTGAGGGAGGAGGGACTGGGGGTCTGGACTCCTGGGTCTGGGGGCCTGGACTGCTGGGGCAGAGGGGGGAGGGGCTGGGGGCCTGGACTCCGGGGCCTGGGGGAGGAGGGGCTGGGGGCCTGGACTCTGGTCTGAGGGAGGAGGGGCAGGGTCTGGACTCCTGTTGGAGGCCGGAGGCTGGTAGTGGAGGTCCTTTGGGAGAGGAGCTCGGGTTGGTGTCCTGGGTTTGAGAATGAGAATGGCAGAAGTTCCAGTTACTGACCTCCTCCCCGTCCAGGGGACAGACGGAATCGGAACTTCGGGCTCCCCAGAGGGTCCGGGGTAAGGGTGGGAGTCAGAGCCCGCACCCGGAGCCGGGAGAGGACAGGCCGAGCCCTGCATCCCTGGGTGCTGAGAGCCCGGGCTGGGGTCAGCGGCCGGCTTCGGCGTGCGTCCGTGCTGGGTGTGGCGTCGGGAGCGGAGTGGGGCGGCGTGAGCTGCTGGATGTGGCCGGGGAGTCTTGTGCGGGGCTGGGAAGCCTGGAGGGGCGTTTCCTCTCCCTCCCTCCTCCGGCTGCGCATTCCTGAGCTCTGACCTCAGGCGACGGCTGCAGGCCCCAAGGGGAGTAGACCCCTCCCCCACGAGGGCTCCCCCTTCTCCGCACGCCCCCTCCCCTGCTAGCCCACCTTCCGGGGGGACTGAATGAGGGATGCCCCGC